GCTCCATCACCCAGGGGAAGTGGGATGACAAATCCATGGGGGGCAAAGCAACAATTGATCACAAATCTGAGGGTTTATTTCCAAACTCTCAGTTTTATTCCATTTGATATGTCTATTCTGTGGCAATCTAACAGTTTTGATTATTGTACCTTGCAGTAGGTTTTGAAATCAGGAAGTATGAGTCCTCCAAATTTGTTCTCTTCAAGATTGTTTTGGCTATTTTGGGTGGTTCCTTGCTGTGCAGAAAAGAATTAATATAGTTAGCATAACTCCTTATACTTGAAAAGGCTTTTCTGTAAGGTTGGCTCTTGGCTGGCCTTGGGAACTTTGATTTATAGTAGGAGTGGTTCACTTTGCCTAAACTGTTTATACAAACAATATGGCTTAGGCCTAACACCTGCTTTCCTTCTGGGAGTCTGAAATTTTGGTATATGCTCGGCAGAGGGTGGCTACATACTATGCAGAAGGTGCCCCAATAAAAACTGTGGGCACTGAGTCCCTAATGACTGTACCCATGGAAAACATTTTACATATATTGCCACAAGTCATTACTGGGGGAATTAAGCATGTCCTGTGTGACTCCATTGGGAGAAGACTTTTGGATGCTCGTGCCTTGTTTCCCCCCGACTTTGCTGAACATACCCTTTCCCTTTACTGATTTTATTCTGTATCCTTTCACTGTAATAAATCATATGCATGAGTATGACTGTATGCTGAGTCCTGTGTGTCCTCCTAGTGAATCATTAAACCTGGGGGTGGTCTTCAGTACCCATGACATACTTGCATTTCAACGTTAATTTTAAGATTGTCTTGTCACTGTCTTCAAAAAACTTGCTGGGATTTTAAATAGGATCTACATTGAAGTAGGTCAATTTGGGGGGTATTTTCATCTGAGTAATATTGTCTTCCAATCTACGAATGTAGATGTCTTTCCATTTATCTAGATGCTCTTTAATTTGTTTCAGCGATGCTTTATAGTCTTTAGTTTAGAATTTTGTTAAATTTATTTCTAAGTATTTTATACTTTTTTTTTTTTTTTTTTTTTTTTTTC